TTAATATTCAATTTCGGATAATGCGAAAATACGCGTTTCTCGATTAACGAAAGAGAGTATTTTCGAGCAACAGTTATTAAGCGGATGTAACTTCATTTTGCACGTGATTCGTGACGAGAAATTGTAGTAACGATGAAATTAGTTGTGGCATTTAATATTATGACTATATGTTGGAACTTTAAAGAAATAAAAGGTGGAAGTTATCGTGTTCCCCGCGAGGAGATTTCCGTGCTGTTTATGAAATTTGTTGAATCTTCCTCGTTATAAGGGATTGAAGTGTACTCTAGAATCTAGCATCAAAGAGCCTTTACTTGGATAAATAAAGGTGTTTGCTTCAGAATCTCCCACTTCAAACAAGAAACACTCCGCGAGTTAAATAACACATTTTTCAAGTATTTTGCACGATTTTAATAACTATCTTATAAATTTTATAATTTTAGTAAGTTTTTAACTCTTTTTGCTTTCGAAATATTCATTCTCGTCTTGTAACGGTTTCTCCCAAACGCAATCTCCACGATTTTCTACGTTTATTACAAATTTAATTTTCGCTTCAGACTTCACGTTTCCTAAACGATGATTAAAAATGTGAACTTATATTACTACTTATATAATTGATCAGGGATATGTATGGGTTCGCACAGATCGTTAACAGTTGCCAATTCATTTCTTTTTCATCTTCACAACGTATGAAACAAAACACAGAGTTTCTCCTCGATGATACTTACGTTACGGATTATACATTTTTTAATGTGTATAAAATTCATGAATTTTCTGAAATAAAATATAAAATATCTCTTGCAATACTAGTTCTTACATAAAAATGAAAATTAATTTATCTATTAGTAACGAGGAAAAGAAACGTAAGTGGATATTGCACATGCATCATTGTCCTTGAGAGAAATATTGTTAACACATGATTATTTATTTTATGAGATGTTCATTCAAGTTTTGATACACAAGCATATTAAATTATTTCAATTTGCCAGTCTTAATAACAAGTGTTTATTAAATTTACCTTGCATCGAGTCCACTTCAGAATCTGCAAATGAATTTTTTAATATATAAAATTACAGAAGGAATAATGTGTTATTTATTATAGTAAAATCATTACGTCTTTTTTCAAACTTTTATCCCTTTTTCGAGTATAATATATAATTATTATAAAAAATGGGGTTAACAATTATTTTATCGTAATAATCATTATGTTTGTGGGCAACTGATCTACGTTCGGTTTGTAATCTAAAAATTCTAAATATTTTGCTATTTTTTAAAAAAAGGTTAATATTGTTTCGTATTTTTATATGTTTTTTAAAATCGTCAATATCTGTACTATTTGCACATTTTATTTAAAATATGTTTCGTGAAGTGGACTCGAAAATTGAGGTCGAAACGTCGATACACGATTGAAAAGACTGAAATTAAACTGCTCAAAAAGAATCAATAAAATCGAAATTATCTTTTCGAAATAACAATTAACTCACATAGTAACGCGAATTTAATTGTCAATATTTAATTTAATTACGCCTTTGTTCTTTCCTGGTTTGCATTCGTTTGGTACATTTTGGTACTTTCTATCGTAATTTTTGTTAATTACCAATCGAATGTTCCAAAGATGGTTCCAGGTTTCCGAAAACGTTAAATACACTTTATCTGTTCGACGGGACTATCATTTCCCATTCGATTTTTACGATCAAAATGAATTTTGCAACTGGAACTTTCAACAAATATCTAACGAACCAGATCAATGATTTTATCTCCAAAATTCGGGACAAATATTGTTTTTACACCCTGCATGAAACGTAGGAAATCATGAAATAACCGATAAAATTGCTTTTTACTCCGGCCCGAAATATACAAAATTCGTCGCGTTAAATTTAACACGCTGTGAGCGAAAGGGTTAGCTATTTACGTGACCTCTTTTAATTCCATATTTTGGTGAAAAATTCCAACGAGTTTAAAACCGTCGAGCGGAATAAAAATCTCGAGTCTCAGACAAAAGTAATATTCGTTGATATTCCGAACGAGGTTCGAGTATGTTTATTATACCAATACCAATACACCAAACAAATCGACCAAAGATTTCAATTTTTTAAAAATTCACTTTCACTTGCAACGATTCCTGTTTATCAAAATAATTCTAAAATTCTAGGCTCAACAATTTTTCAATACTTGCTCAGAAAATCCAACAAATATCTTTTCGCTCGAGATGAGTATTTTCGACGCGAACAAAACGCATGAAACGATCAATTTCAGTTTATATCGAGAACGAAATTCTCCAATTTTAATAGTCATCGCGCAGGAAGACAGGATATCGATAATATCGTATTCATTCGTTAATTTTCATCGATCGGACCACGTTCGTGGCGGAGACGGAAAGAAAAACCGAGACTCGGATTTAATAATTCTATCATTGCAACAGATCAGACAATCGACGGGCCGTGTTGAACAGAGAGAGGGAGAGAAAGAGAGAGGGAGAGACCGCGGACGAACATGCAGTGCTAACGAGATATCTCGTTAAGCCTAGACGGACAATCGCACGGTGGAGTTCGACATGACGAGATTCGCGACGATCTTCGTTCACGGCGTTACGTTTCTCCGATATTCGTTAGAATATTAATTTCACGTTCGCGGAGCGTTTATAATGCCCGACACGGCGACTGCGCCGCGTTATAATCGCCGAGTCGATTGCTTTAATCTGAATAAACAAGGAACCTGTTCATCGTCCTGGCCAATTTACCCCTCTCAACGGACGAGATCGAACAAATCCGATTAAAAGGGTATTCCCGCTCGAAACGCCATTTTTCGGGGGATTTTCAGAGGATCTAGACACTCCCTTTATCAAAGAATCGTCGTTTAAAGAAGACAATTGTACGCGTAATCTTGACAATACGGTCAATCGAATGCAAAAACATTTTTTCCACAGGGGTTGGAAAAAGAAACACTTTGCATATGCGTCGAGTTTCGAGCAGATTGCTTCCGTCGTTCTTGAGAATCCGGTGGCAATTATTTAGGGGAAAAACACTGTTTCGAAAACAGACGCGTTTGAAGTTTTCCATGAAATTCTCTGTGCGCGAAACTGTCTCGTTTGCTAATATAATGGATGAATGAAATTAACAGCCCGCTTTTCGTTCCGTTTCTCTTTTTCTCTGTTTCGTCAAGCGCGATGGTGTTTGTTATTGTCGCGAGGGTAAATATTTTGTAATATTTCCGCACGCTTCCGCGACCATTTTTCGCTTTAATCTCTATTTTTATTCCGAAACTCTCCATTCTGCACGTGCCTTAACCCGTTTTCGAAAACGGTCACTTTGTGTATTGTTTCTGTAAAATAGTTTTCGCAGCCTTTGAAAACGCGTTTTAATCAAATTCTTCGGATTAAACGTCCATTTTAAAAGGGATCAAATGTGAGAGTAAAATAATCTTTTAAAATTACATGCACGAAAGAAACAGAATGGGAGAGCGATAATAAATATCTTAGTTTATTTAATAGGAGTAGTAAACAGTTTCTATAATATTATTTCGTACGTTTGTTCAATGAATCTAATTATACAAATATTTTTCGTTTCTCTGAAATAGAAGAAAGTGTTTCGAATTTTTTTGTTCGACGACGTCAATCTCCGAGCGATAGGTACTTAATTTGCGGTATGCGTGTGTGTACACCTTGTATATTTAAAACCACTTTAAAATATTCTCCCAGTCTCGTTCTTTCGCTGAAAGGTCGTGCAAGTGGTGCTGCATTGAAGTGTGGACTTACACATAGGTCAAGTAGATTACCGAGTAACAGGTGGAAGGTAAAATTGCTCTAACGAGACGTGTCTTCTTAATTGGGGAGGTAAAAACGCTCTCTCTGGCAATGGAAAGAATTCAAATTCATTACTTGCTAAGCCGTCGTGCATACAAGAAGCCTCGCAAAAACGTGTCGTTTACAAGCTTGGAGAGTTAGTATCGCGATAATGAATTATCCAGATCGGTAACAGAGTATCGGATACTCCTTTAACGAGTTCGTTTAATTCATTTACACCGCGAGAATCTACTGAAAGAATCATTTATAACAATTTGAAATAATTTCGATTTCTTTTATCGAGGATTAATCAATACTTTCGTTTGGGCAAATAAATTATTGCAGACCCATTGCAAATATTTCTCACAATCAGTGTAGAATTTGAAATTCTTGGATTTAATGCTTTTTCTAAGGCTATTCGAGATTATGGGAAATTTTGCTAAAAAATGTCTCGTTTAATTCAAGCAATGGATTATTATGGATCTATTGTGATCAAAGTGAAATACTTTACTTTCATTTGTTCGAAGTTTCCGTCTGAATTGGAGCTATACTGTATACTTTGGTCCAACGAGATTATTTATCAAACATGGGATTGCAGAATGTGCCAATAACGATGTTTAGAATTCGTGTAATAGACTATGAACTTCTACATAAAATGTTCGTAATCGTATCAAATCCTTACTGCAATACACAGTAAACTTTCAAAATAGGTTTCAGTAATATGATACGAAGACTTGTAGAAAAATGTAACCGAAATATCAAAAGATTCTCGAACCATGTACACGGTAGATATTAATTTTCAGAACTATTATTTGTAACATCGTACGGAAGAATTTTTGCGTCCATGAGTCATTCAGTATAAAAAAAAGATATTAGAAAATTCTATAAATTTGTTACTCTATCGAACGATATGAAAATTAAAATATAACAGAAGACTATATCATTAAAAATATTATTTTCCTATGAACGCATTCACACACAATAAAATTCTTTTAAATAATAATTTTCTAGTTAGATTGGGTAGAGTATCATCGATGGAGCGTGAAAGAAATGGTAATAAAATTTTAGAGATATTTTCAAATGAATTGGTTCCGTTCTCTGTCGATCGGTTAACGCAGCAAAGAGTTTGACAGTTCTCGGCATTATATAAACAATCATTGACTCTCGTCGTAGAAGTAGACGCGTGGTTTCGTTCGTCTGGTGCACCTTAACAATTTTTTTCTTACGTCAAAGCAAACAGATGGCAAGATGCTATCAGAAGGATACATGTGGCGGGTGGTAGAATTCTATTCGACGTCGCGGCTACGCCATTGTCGTCGAAAAATGGCTCCAAAGTGGAACCCGGCTCCCTTAAAGGACCCTGGTACATACGATTCAATCTGTGATCCCGGTCACCGAACGATTCGTTGGTGTCATCGTCCCCTCGATGATCCCCCACTTTCTTTGAGTGCTCTGGCAGGTCCATGTCTAAACACACAAAACGACGAAACACTGAATTAATAACAGGAAACAACAACTAGAAACGAGATTCTTTATTCGTTTCTTCAAACGTGTAAAAAGTTTTTCCTTTTACTAGACATCAATTTTTAAAGACTTAATTCTTATTAATAATCTAACGAGTTTCGTATAAATTGTTGTCTATGCTAGTACAAGAAAATTGGGATGATTTTTAACGAAAAATTGAGGATTTCTTTACTAGACATCAATTTTTAAAGTCTTTTCTTAATTCATATTAATAATCTATCGAGTTGAATCGTATAAACTCTTGTCTGTGCTAGCACAAGAAAATTGGGACGATTTTTAACGAAAAATTGAGGATTTTTTACTAGACATCAATTTTTAAAATCTTTTCTTAATTCTTGTTAATAATCTAACGAGGTGAATTGTATAATCTGTTGTCTATACTAGTACAAGTAAATTCGGGTGATTTTTAACGAAAAATTGAGGATTTTTTACTAAACATCAATTTTTAAAGTCTTTTCTTAATTCTTATTAATAATCTAACGAGTTGAATCCTATAAACTGCTGTCTATGCTAGTACAAGAAAATTGGGATGATTTTCAACCATAAATTGAGGATTTTTCTACTAGACATGAATTTTTAAAGTCTTTTCTTAACCCTTATTAATAATCTAACTAGTTGAATCGTATAAACTGTTGTTTATACTAGTACAAGAAAATTGGGATGATTTTTAACGAAAGATTGAGGATTTTTTTACTAGACATCAATTATCAAAATCTTTTCTTAACTCTTATTAATAATCTAACCAGTTGAATCGTATAAACTGTTGTCTATGCTACTACAAGAAAATTGGGATGATTTTTAACGAAAAATTGAGGATTTTTAACTTGAATGTTACTCTACTCGAAGGACCTTTCGAGTTAATTGTGTTTAATAAGTTTCACGAATAAGAAGCTGGCGATAATAGCGTAGGTTGCGCAATCAAACTCGGCGAACTTGATTAATCGGTTAACCGTTGAAATCTGAGAGCTTCCACAACCGTAGTAACTGATCAAGCAACTATTGGAAATCCGATTGCGTCGTTTGAGTGATCGATCCGTGACGACTGACTTCTGTAAGGTAACTAACTTCTTACCCATTAGCAAGTAATAATTTTCGATGGCGACCACTGTTCCCTGGAGAGGAGGCGCGAGCAACCAGTATCTATCCTAGACTGGACGAAACTTTGGCAAGGATACGCGGTTCCTTCCACAACACGGATCCTCTGTTTAACTTATTGGCCTCTGAGGATCGTCCAGAATTAATTCCTCTTCCTATATACGCGCTGAGTAACAATTTTACGTTTCAAAGAATTCTCGACGACTGGCGATACTTTCACATTTACTTAAAATTTAAAATTCACAATTTTTAATAGCGATGTTTCTTCCTTTTTTTCACGTGAAATCTACGTGGGTGAAATTCAAGAATATCAATGAAATATTATTTGAATAATTTCTCAAACAGATCCTTCCTGATAATTCTCGAAAAATGTTTTAGTATTTTAATTTATTTATTTATAAATAATAATGGCTAATTAGATTTGTTAAAATTTTATTTTTCTGTAATAGTAGATCTAAATGAAGACTATTATAACCTAACTTTGTAGTGTTTGAAGTAACAGAATTAGAACTGGTTGAAACTAATCATAAATAATGGTGGGTAATAGTATTTGTTAGAATTTTATTTATCTATAGTAGTAAATCTAAAAAAATATTAGTAAATCTAAATGAATTTAGTCTAACCCTGAATTGTTTGAAATAATAGAGTTAAGAGTGGTTGAAACTAATCATAAATAATGATGGCTAATAGTATTTATTAAAATTTTATTTTTCTGTAATAGTAGATCTATATGAAGACTATTGTAACCTAACCTTGTAGTGTTTGAAGCAACTGAATTAAAAATGGTTGAAACTAATCATAAATAATGGTGGGTAATAGTATTTGTTAGAATTTTATTTATCTATAGTAGTAAATCTAAAAAAATAATAGTAAATCTAAATGAATTTAGTTTGACCTTAATTGTTTGAAATAACAGAATTAAAAGTTGTTGAAACTAATCATAAATAATGATGGCTAATAGTATTTATTAAAATTTTATTTTTCTGTAATAGTAGATCTATATGAAGACTATTGTAACCTAACCTTGTAGTGTTTGAAGCAACTGAATTAAAAATGGTTGAAACTAATCATAAATAATGGTGGGTAATAGTATTTGTTAGAATTTTATTTATCTATAGTAGTAAATCTAAAAAAATAATAGTAAATCTAAATGAATTTAGTTTGACCTTAATTGTTTGAAATAACAGAATTAAAAGTGGTTGAAACTAATCATAAATAATGATGGCTAACAGTATTTATTAAAATTTTATTTTTCTGTAATAGTAGATCTAAATGAAGACTATTATAACCTAACCTTGTAGTGTTTGAAGTAACAGAATGAGAACTGGTTGAAACTAGTCATAAATAATGATGGTATAATAGTATTTGTTAGAATTTTATTTATTTATGGTAGTAAATCTAAAAAAATAATAGTAAATCTAAATGAATTTAGTTTGACCCTGTAGTGTTTGAAATAACAGAATTAAAAGTTGTTGAAACTAATCATAAATAATGATGGCTAATAGTATTTGTTAAAATTTCAGTTTTCTATAATAGTAGATCTAAATGAAGACTATTATAACCTAACTTTGTAGTGTTTGAAGTAACAGAATTAAAAGTGGTTGAAAGTAATCACAAATAATGATCGTTGATAGTATTTATTAAAATTTTATTTATCTATAATAGTAAATCTAAAAAAATAATAGTAAATTTAAATGAATTTAGTCTGACTCTGTATTGTTTGAAATAACAGAATTAAAAGTGGTTGAAACTATTCATAAATAATGATGGCTAATAGTATTTGTTACAATTTTATTTTTCTGTAATAGTAGATCTATATGAAGACTATTGTAACCTAACCTTGTAGTGTTTGAAGCAACTGAATTAAAAATGGTTGAAACTAATCATAAGTAATGATGGCTAATAGTATTTGTTAAAATTTTATTTTTCTGTAATAGTAGATCTAAATGAAGACTATTATAACCTAACCTTGTAGTGTTTGAAGTAACAGAATTAGAACTGGTTGAAACTAATCATAAATAATGGTGGGTAATAGTATTTGTTAGAATTTTATTTATCTATAGTAGTAAATCTAAAAAAATATTAGTAAATCTAAATGAATTTAGTCTAACCCTGTATTGTTTGGAATAACAGAATTAAAAGTTGTTGAAACTAATCATAAATAATGATGGCTAATAGTATTTGTTAAAATTTCAGTTTTCTATAATAGTAGATCTAAATGAAGACTATTATAACCTAACCTTGTAGTGTTTGAAGTAACAGAATTAAAAATGGTTGAAAGTAACCATAAATAATGATCGCTAATAGTATTTATTAAAAATTTCATTTTACTATAATAGCAAATCTAAATAAAGGTTATTATAATAAAATTATATAGAATACGAAAGAATATTTCGTCCTAAAAATTGCAAAATAGTAATCTAGAAAAATGCTGTCGAAATTTTGTCACGTTTGGCGCTTTCTAAACGCGTGCAAAGTCAGTGAAAAGAGCAGGGACGTTGTATGACGCGTCCAGGTCAGAACTCTGGTCGAAATAGCGGAAACGTAACGCACGGCTGTGGGCTATTTAGTTGGTAGTTGTAGGAAAATTTAAGTGACAGCAGATAGGATTCTTTTCGGACGCATAACTCTCTGATAGGAACTGCAACAGGGCGGCGGAGTTGAGCATTTTCACGCTCGACGTCACAGTATATAGGAGGCGGGTATCGCCGTGGAAAAAGAGAAAGCAAGAATTCCTCTCTTTGACGAGGAATTCCTATAGTGGATTCAATTTATACATGCACCGACGTGTACGCCACTAACACTAATCTGTGCGCGAAGCATCTCCCGGGGGAGGGGAAACTGCTTACGAGCAATATTTTTGTGCGCTGCGGTTTCATAAAAATACTTCAGTTTTTACACACGACCGAGAACTCTACAACTTGTTTTATTAAAATTTTCTAACGATTCTACTGCCTCTGTGCGCGGCGGAACTTTTCGCGTACGAGATTCGGACGCGAAACGCAGAATCTTAATTTCGTTCGAAATTAAATTGCACGCGTTGACAAACGAAACCCTGACGACTCTTTCGTTTCCGTTTAAATCTTCTTTACAAAAGAATTCTATTTTTGAACTACGTTTATTAATAATTATGATTCAAGTAACTTTCTCATTGTTTTATTTTTAACGAGAGGTTAAAATCGTTGTAAAATATTTATAAAGGGTGGTTAAGAATTTCGTTTACTACTGTGATGAAAGTATGTCGAATCAGTGTATTGCATAGGTGGTATTATGTATTTAGATTTAAGGTGTTTCCTCAAATTAAATTATTTCCTCTGGGATCTATCGCGAGCAAACAATTTGATCAAGCCATCAGGAGGAATTGTTCGATGCTTCGGTAAAAAGAACCAGAGAGGAAAAAAAAAAGGAAAGGAACTGTAATCTTCCATAACGCAAGGGCCATGTGTTGCAAAATTGACACTCCAGAAATTGGAAAAGGCGAAATGGGAAACTTGGTCCCTCCCGTCGTGCTCTGTCGATATTGTTCTCACGAATTACTATATCTTCCGAGTAATTCGCTAAAATTACAAAAATACAACCGGGGAAACTTTCCTTTTCGTTTCGTTGATACATTTTACACGTGGCAAGAATCGAAATAGATACGAGATAGCGTGAAATTTAGGAATTCCGGTGAAATATCGTTTAAAATATCTCCGAAGCTTGCCGTTTACGGAAATGATCGAACAGAGAACCAACGCGCGAAAAACATAGATTTTTCGAAATACTCCTTTTACTTTTGGAAATTTAAAGTTGGTTTAAAATTGAAACGCGATACAAATTGCAATTGGATAAGAATGATTCGTAAGAAT